CAAAAGTAACGCATTACTTTCCATAAAAAGTAACTAAGTAACGTGATTAGTTACTTTTTTATGGAGTAACGCAATACTGTAACGCATTACTTTTAAAAGTAACTTTCCCCAACACTGTATATATATATTTTACAATTTGGCATTTTTAACAGAAAAAAATAAATTACTATATTGCAAATAAAATAAAATATGAGTTTCTAAAACAAAACCAACTAAATATTTAGATACAATATTGCGATATTAATTGTAATATTAAAAATAAAATAAAAATAGAAGTTACTGAAACATTCAAAACAAAATTGCTGTTTTAAAAATACAATAAATTAAATTATTACATTTTCTAACAAAAACTTGCTCATTAACACTACTGATTATGTTAAAACAAAGTCAAATAAAACATCTGACATTTGCACATTAACAAATCTTATTTTGTTGAGGTTATGTTCTCTTTTTCTTAAAAAAAAAAAAAAGACAAAATATGCTGAATTCATCAGATTATTTTAACCACAAAGTATCACCAAAAAAAAGCTCAAAACACATTTTTTATTTTGGACAAAGTACTGACATAGATAACACCCCACAACTGTATATTAAAACATTCTAACCAAGAAATCATTACATCAGCTGTGACAGAATATTTTCCACACATACCTTTGCAGATGAAGACAAATAGCATGTGGTTGGACTAGACTTGACTGAACAGCTTCGGCTTCTACCAAAAATGATTCATCATAGTCCAATACTCTATAGAGAACATAGAGCACTGACTTACAATTTGCATGTCACTGTATTATTACTCTTAATACCGCACAGCTGGTTACACAGAAACGACTATAAACACTTACACACATTCACTTCCACGCAGCGGGATGGAGAGTTTGAAGGTGATTAGACGGGGTCTTCTGCTGATGATCTCAGTGTGTTGTGGTCCCGGGCTTGTGTGCGCGTACCTGTAGCTGCCAGCAATGGATTGTGCAGTAATAACTCTGAAAGCTGAAGCTTGTAAAGACACACCTGAGCTCCCGAGTGTGGGAGAGAAGGAAGAAAAGCCCCAAGGCTGTGTGAGGGAAAAGGGCTTATGTTGCATTGAGAGTTGATTTATGCTTGTCATGAGAGGGAATGATGGCTGGATTCATTACGGGACGCAGTTAATGACACATCAGAGTATAGAAATGGGTTTGACAAGCAACACGAGTTTACGCACTTGGATTAAATGCTTCATACTACTGCTTCAGAAGGTGTGTCTACTAAGAATGCATTTCTTTAGAAGAATGAAATGAATGTTTGGGAATATATAGAGTGTGGTACAGGCTAGAGAGAGCTTCTCCCAAGATATCTCCCAAGAATCATTATAAAAAGTACATTGAGAACAAGTTGTAAGAAGCAGTTATAAAGCCAATACTGCTCTTAAAATGCTCAGGGGAGTCATTGCGCCTACTTTTTAAATTTGTTATACTAAAAGCACCAAATAATAAAAATAAACTATTTTGGGTGCCCACTTGATGTCCGCTATAAAATCTGGGTCCTGAAGCAAAAACCTAAGTTGGACCTAATTTTTAAATGTTGTACTAAAAGCACCAAATAATAAACATAAATGTAAGACGTGTTAGTCTAGTATTTAGTTAGTCTAGATTTAATTTAGCTTTAACAGTTTTTTTCAGACGCTGGTCAATTTAGGGCTGTTTTGTTTCTGCTAAAAAGAAAACACCCAAAATTACACCCAGTATTAGTACATACTGAAATTTTACTAGAATAGTTCACCCAAAATTTAAGATTTTCTGAAAATGTACTCACCGTCAGGTGATCCAAGATGTAGATGAGCTTGTTTCTTCATCAGATTTGGAGAAATGTATCATTACATTACTTGCTCAGCAATGGATGCTCTACAGTGAATGGGTGCCGTCAGAATGAGAGTCCAAACAGCTGATAAAAACATCACAATAATCCACAAGTAATCCACATCACTCCAGTCCTTCAGTTAATGTCTTGTGAAGAGAAAAGATGTGTGTTCGTAAAGAAAAAAAAAGTTTTGTTGCTTCTGGCTAAAATACGAGTCCTCCGTCCAGAATATTGTTTTCTGGAAGTCGTCTCGTCTGAATCAGAAGAGAAATATGCACAGATCAAGCAACGATTACAAGCAAAAACAGCTCTAAACAAATGTGTCGGTGGATTTTGATGTGCGAAAACAACAGCGGATGGACTTTTTCACTGAAGGAAGCGTTATTATGGATTATGGAGGCATATTTGGGCCAGAAACGACTATTTGAAGCTAAAAAATGCCTTGATGGATTTGTTGCAGCTTTTTTGCTTCACAAAGATGTTAATTGATGGACTGGAGTGGTGTGGATTATTGTGATGTTTTTAGCAGCTGTTTGGACTCTCATTCTGACGGCACCCATTCACTGCAGAGGATCCACTGGTGAACAAATGACGCAAATCTTCTCCAAATCTATTCTGATGAACTCATCTACATCTTGGATGGTCTGAGGGTGAGTAAATATTCAGTAAATTCTCATTTTTGGGTGAACTATTTCTTGAAAGACATCAACATTTGACGCTTTCATGCCTTGAAAGTGAAACTAAATATATGAAATTTGAACAAATAAGGCCCTCGATGTCTTGTTGTGATTTTAAAGACATCTGTATAGGAAGAGAAGCATTTTCTCTTCGTTTTCATGAGGGTTAAAAGGTCTAACGGTCAGCCCAGGGCAAGAGAAAATGACTTGCAGGTGTTTTTTCCCTAACTTTACGTTTCCAGTCATATTATTTGCAAACACAGCACAAACTCATATGAAAGGCACTTGAACAGTTTTCTTAATAAAACGCACAAAACAAAGATTATCTATTCTAATAAAAAAAATTGGAGTGGTCTTAAAATGTTGTAATACTGATGCAATTTTGAATACTTAAATACTTGATGCAATTTTCCACTTCAATGACTGTCTTCGTCCCATACAAGTGTACATCAATTTAAACACATCTCTATTAAAATCACTACTCACTTCTTCAAGGCTAAAACTAGTTTGAAGCCACATTTTGGACAGGAGTCCCTCAAATATCACCAACAAATGATTGCCCGAATGAAATTAACGCCTGCAGTGGCTGTGGCACAGATACTGATAAACACAGCGCATCTGGCCTACAAACCACAGAAATACATTTTGAAACTTTTCAAAGGCAGATTTTATGATCTCAGAGTCAACAGCTGTGGTTAGAAGCCGCATACCAACCAAGCCAACACATTTGTCATCCCCTCGAGGCTGTTTTTGGCATCTGTAGACATTTACAGACCCAGACAAAATGCAAATGTATCAATCAAAATCTTTGCAGCAAATCTTCACCGAGCCTGACGTGTTTGGAATGCGAGTTAGGATATTAAATAAATGCACCGGTCCTGTTTATCAATGCCATTCATTTAAGGTAATGTTGACCAGCACTTCATATTGTGGACATGCAAATCATCACACATCATTAATCAGATTACATATCCGACTTGCCGTGACTTTATTAGTCTTTAAACCGCTGCTTTGTTGTTGTGTGCTGTCTTGCAGTTAGTCAATTATTTGGCGATGCTGTTTGGAATAAGTTAAAAGGTTTTAGACATTTTATGCAACACGATTCTCTCATCTTTTTTAATGCAAAGGCACTTTTGATTACAATGACAGGACAGACAGACAAATATCTGATCAGTGTTTTGATTCTAAACATGAATATGAAAAACTCAATAACATGCTCAATATTGTAAACAGATATATATTGTTCTTAGTTAACAATCCTTACGGTCTGCTTTATATGATTCAAATAATTCTATAATGTTCATCATAGTAAGTATTAAAATCTGAGGTTATTTATTTATTTATTACATTTACTGCTTGCTTTATCATATAAAAACATGATATCATATTTATCATATTATTCAAATGTATTATATTTTAAAATGCTGCATTTGATATAAAACAAAATATAACTTCCTAATGAACTGAAATATTATTTATTTGTTATTTTTTCTGTCTGCTTTATATGATTGAAAATGTTGTTTAATATTTATCATATTATTAAAATGTGTTAAATTAAATTAAAATAATACAAAATATTTATTAGTAAACTTATTTATTACATGTTTACTGTCTGCTTTATATGATTAAAATAATTTGATATAATATTTATCATACTATTAAAATGTATTAAATAAAAATGTAAAAGGCTATATTTGAGATAAAATATTTCTCAGTACAATTATTTTAACAAATATTTATTTATTACATTTTAAAATGACATTACAAAATATAACTTCTTAGTAAAATGAATACAAAATATTTATTACATGTTTACTGTCTGCTTTATATGATTAAAATAATTTTATATATTTATAATACTATTGAAATGTATTAAATTCTAATTTAAAAGGATATATTTGATATAATATAAAATATATCTTAGTACAATTATTTAAATAAAAATATTACATTTTAAAATGACATTACAAAATATAACTTCTTAGTAAAATGAATAAAAAATATTTATTACATGTTTACTGTCTGCTTTATATGATTAAAATAATGTTATATAATATTTAATCATATTAATTATCAAAATGTATTACATTTTAAAATGTTTGACATAATACAAAAGATAATTTCCTCATAAAATTAAAAAATATTTATTATTTTTCTTCTGTCTGCTTCATGTGATTAAAAATATTATACAATATTTATAATATTATTAAAATTATTATTTTACATTAAAACATTAAAAAATTAAATTTTATATTTGATATAATACAAAATATAACTTATTTATGTTCTACATTTTGAGGTTAGACTTTTTACTTAAGTGCATTTCTCTGGATATATTTATTTTTAAAATCCAATTTCTGTATAAACCTTAATAAATCGTGACTACATAATCTACTGAATTAAATTTAAACAGTAAAACTTATGAAAGTTATGAAATGCAAAATCTTATGCAGAAATGTAAAACGGTAATACACAAATATTGTAATTCTGTATAAACGTAAAACATTTAAATAATACGTGGCAATCTGATGCAATAAAATCACAGCTATGTGGCCCCAACCTAATATTTATGAAAAAGTGGCTAGTCCTAGGAACACAGTTGTTGTTGTTGTTTTCCATTCAGTTATTATGTGAATGCTTTCCTTTGTAGAAGTTGAAATATTTTCTGGAAGAACACACTACAAAAGCACAGCTGTGATTATGAGATGTGTCACTTCTGATATCAGCCTCATTCTGCGCATTGACAAATGAGACAAATGTTATCGTCAACATGAACGGTGAAACGACTAATGCTCTGCTCGTGTGAGACGCTCTGGCAGGCTGTCTGGAGCTGGCAGCAGCATCACACAGCAGTCTTTCATCCCCGTCGCAGCGGGAGTTTGTGACACTTCTTTTGGTAGCAAAAGAAGTAAACACACAACTTATCAATTGAAGCAAGACAAAAATGAAATAAATAAAAACACAGACATTCCATTGATTGCCCTGATATTTTGATCAAGAAGCCCAACAAAACAGCACACTTTCTGGCTGGAAAAGACCATTGGAGATTCAGGGCCAGTGAACCACTAAATTACTCAACGTCTCTTTAATTACTGGAATCATGTGCGACACCAGAATTAAAGGGTTAGTTCAGTCAAAAATGAAAATTAGGCTGCGTTTCACTCACCCTCAAGTCATCCTAGGTGTATATGACTTTCTTCTTTCAGACGAATCCAGTCGGAGTTATATTAAAAACTGTCTTTGATATTTCAAGCTCTATCGTTGTACTCAGCGGGTGTTGCATTCCTTCGGTTCAAATGACGTGAAATAAAAAGCACCCTTCCACAAAAAAAAGTGTCTCACACGGCTCCAGGGGGTGAACAAAGGCCTCCTGTAGCGAATCGATCGCTACAGAAGGCCTTTGTTCACCCCTCGGAGCCGTGTGAGACACTTTTTTTTTTGTGGAAGGGTGC